TTGCACCTTGACACCCACACACACCCCCACCACTTCCTCAGGTACAAGTTCTGTCACTTGTCAAACCACGATAACCAGGCCTTATCAGTTAGTGTCCGTCAACCTCCTTGCCTAGCCCTCGCAGCCCCTCCTTCAACCGCCGGAGACGGGCGCCCTTTTACCCGCTTGGGCAGCTTAGGCGGCGGCCTTTGCCAGTTCACTCATTTCAGAAGGTAAGCCGCAGCCAAAACAAGCAGGCCATGTTTTGAGTTGCACTGCTTGACTGTGTCCAGCGTGGCCCCCCCTCTCCCCAAAGCCTAAGCGGCATCCTGTGGGCAATTGGGCAAGACCGCCTTTATCCCCCTAGTTACTGCTGTTTGACGTGGTCTCAGCAATCATCAGGAAACCCCTAGCAGGCGACCACTTTGTCGATTTCAACTCTGCCTCATTTTGCAGGCCCCTTGTCATGTCGTTGTGATCATCCACCACCTATTTCTCCTCTCTTTCACCTCTTCCAAATGCTTGGGTCAATGGATCGGGCTCGATCATGGCTGACCATGCATTCACACAGCTTCCCAGCATGGTTCGAAAGCCCAAGGCTGTATGGCCCGGCCTGGCCAAGATGGGCATGTACCAGAAGCAGATAGCAGGCGACGGTATAGCATCGCTCTCTCCCCTTATCTCATTGCCTATTTCAATCTGACTCGATCCCAGGCAATTGTCTGTTTGCATCTCTCTCCGACCAACTCTACGGGACTCCCGCAAAACACCCCGAGATACGTGCAAGTATCATTGACCACATGCGAACCTATCGTCCGCTTTTCGAACAATATGTCCATAAAGATGACGTGCAACAACGAAGGACTCTCCGTTCTGCCACATTGGCCTCTCGCCAGGAGCCAGAAGACGCGTTCGAGGAATACTTGTCTCTCATGTCACGCAGCGGGACTTACGGCGGAGAGCCTGAGCTGGTAGCCTTTTGTCAGGTCTTCGACCAGGATGTCACAGTGCATCTCCCACGTATCCAGAATTTCGACAGAGATTCGATTCTCTACACGAACGAGCACCGAGGAGATCCCGCTTCTGTGCCACCACTCCACATCTGCTATGGCGGAGATGAGGTCACGCGAGCACACTACGACTCAGCTCGAAGCAGGGATGGTTCCACTCCACGGCACAAGAACAGCCCTCTTCTCAAACCCCAAGACACGTCTCGCAACGCCACTGTTAGCTCGCCATCGCCACATCTCCTCCTCAGTACCAGAGCGATCCGGAGCGGCAAGGCGGAACTATCATCTGAGTTCATCCAGGACTTTCTGCAAAAGAGCAAGAGAGACACGGAGAACAATGTGGACCAGCTCAGTGAGAAATACCGCGCACGAAGTCCGTCTGTAACCTCATCTCAACGCAGCTCGAGCTCCAAGAGATCATTGGATGAGGACGGAGAGCCTGTTCGTGCCAGCAAAAGGGCAGATAGACGGAAAAGCACCAGAAGACGTGCAGATATGGCTATTGTGGTCTGTGACCCAGACAATGAACTCTCTCCGTCAATGCCAAATGACTCGCCCAGTGCGGATACACCACCAAGCACGCAAGACACGGAACCATCCGCGGACATGCCGGCTCAAGAGAATATCAATTCCACGATCAAGGCCAAGCCTCTTGCTACGGAGGAAGGCACTGGCCCTGAAATTGTTGCCGACCCTGCGAAGCCACCGCCGAAGAGTCAGCCTCGCATCTCATTCAGTCTCGTCACCAACAAAGCAGTAACTGCCTCCGAGTCGTCCAGCTCAAGATTGATGTCGGTTGCCGAGAGGCCTAAACCAACATTGCGAGCATAGGAATTGTACGGGAGTACAGGTTGAGGTCACTTGTCCAACAGTCTTGGTGAGGTTGTTCTGCATAGCACGGGTTGGCCTGTTTTGATACCCCAGCATAGCATAGCGTCGGCGGCACATGGCACATTACAAGAATTTCGGTCAGGGAATGGGCCCTTTTTAGAGATCAGACCGTGGTTAAGATCCCAAATGATTGATGAGAACTATGGACTAAGTTTAGTAGAAACAATCATCGCTCAAGGGCATGAAGTAGAGGAAAGCAGCCCTTTGGATGATGGCTACCAGTCTTTCAAATTTCCGCGTAATAAGCGGGCAATGTGAGCCACTTGAACAAACAAATCGAGTTCAGGCTCCTGTCGTACCCAAAGCTCCGTTGAGGATCATGTTTGATTACGGACCCTGAGGAAGGATTTCGGCAGAGGTTGACGGGCTCTTGGCATACGTGTGGGTTACGAGCTTCCACCTGTTACTCTGTCCTCCAAAGCAGCTCGGCAGCTTCCCCTTTGTTGTTGTGGCCTGCGGTGCGCAGTTAGATTCTGCTAAGTTTATTCACTACTTCTTGTTACAACCCTCGCAACAGGCTACAGACTACTCGGGAGAGCCATCCCTTCACCACCTCAGCCTCCCTAAGACTCTCACGCTCGAGCCCTGTGCAAGCTGCGCCTGGGCCATCATCATGGACTTCTCCAACATATTGTACGTTTTCCAATTTACAGCGGGTTTATGCCGTGCGCACTGCTGGTAGGGTTTTACGCTCTCGTGCTAATTACAGACTGTAGCCGACTGGTCAACCTGGTCGTGGGAGCGATTATGGTCTTGGGAGGTATGAAATGAGTCCAATCTTGTCAGCGGTGCAGCCGTCAAACACTCATACTGACAAGGCAACAGGAATCAGCCAGTTCATCCCTATTGGATTGTCGGTTTTGCCCTCTGTCAACGTTTTGCGCGGATACTAAACATACGATAGTCGAAGTATCATTGTGGGCATCTACGTGATCATCTTTGGATTGGGTATGAAAGAGACTGCATCAATATCATGCTCTGGGAAGACTGACTGGATACACAGCTGTCGCCGGGCTGGAACTATTACCGCAAGTTCCACCGTATCTGCCCAAATACGCCAGCTTTCTATTTTCCTTCCTCGGTCGCGGCATCTGTCAGTCCTCCTAGCTCCCCCATCGACTAGAGATCCTAACATTGCGCAGTCTACATCTTCGTTGGTTGCATCATTCTCGAGGGCCACGTTTTGCGAATTATTGCTGGTACCATTGTTGCTGCGATTGGCGTCGGTTACTGCGCGCTGGAGTTTGCACCCTCGATTGAGCCACCATCCAACATGCGTGACGCGGATGCTGGTTGGGGCGCTGAACAGGTGTAAGGTCCCACAGATGCAGATTATCGATTCCGGACCAGTTGTTGTCACGGTCAATGTATTTTAATGTTGGTCAAGTTTTGGTCTGGTGGGCTGGCAGGTAGGTGGTGATGCCAGATCAGCAATCATCGGTAGGCGAGGAATGTGAGGATAACCCTCGGAGTCATTAGGGTGATTGTTGTGGGAGCAGAAAAGAGGTGCACAGACAGGCCTGGAATATACGATCAGGCGCTTATGGTGGTGGTGGTTTTGTTGTCCAGGCTCTTGCGGTGTTGGTATTCTCCAAGCTCTGACATACGGGTAACAGGATCAAGGATAAGCAGAGCCACTATCTAATACGAAATCGAATTCGACGACGACCATCTAGCCGTAGGAATTGCCGAGCAGACGCTCGAGTGGCCAGATTGTCGTCTTGATGATGTTTCAAAAGTTGAAGAATTGACTACACTGTAGTAACTACGCTGGCTATCGATAATCTCATAGTCAACTATTTCTAGTCCGTCAAGTAGATTGCTCTGCTCCTAAGACATTGTCGTTTACGAAGTTCGAGAAAACCGTCGTATGCGATATGCCGCCGCCGCCTTCCGGAAAAGATCTGGGGAGCGGGATCCTGATTCATTCTCTCCCCTATGAGTTCCTCAGCTTTGTTCGTGTGCCTTGCACTCCTGCTTCGTGAGCAGCATTTTGTCTTCGTCCACCTGAGCTATGGAACTGTTAGAGATATTTATCGGACACCTTGAACCTGGCGATTGTCAACCAGTGGTTTCTCGGTGGAGGCGCCATTTCACAGATTCAGGGATGCAACTCAGCCAAAATATCATGCCGTGAGGAGTCTGATCACTATTCTGTGCTGTCAAGGGGCATATCAAGGGATTCCTTGGCTCAAGTGAGGCCCTCACACACGGGCCCTACGTGGCAAAAGCAACCTGCATACTTCAAGCAGCCTCCCCCTCAAGAAAGAATGACAACCCGAGACTCGGGAAGAGGGGGATCCATATTCATTCTTCGGGTATTTGCAGATGGCAGTGCATGTCTTCGAATGATACAAGGAATGCAAAGAAGACAACAGAGACAGTGAGCGCGCCCTAGGGGAACCTATTCCCAAACCTACGTACCGGGACATCCAGCTTGCTTTCCCACAAAAAGGGGCAGGTACTGAAGACTTTTCGCAGCATGGACAAAGAGAATACGCCCTACAGGCGGTGACAGAAGAGATTATGCCCGATTGAAACATGGATGGTTTCTATGGGCAGAGTGGTCGTAAGTGGCTCTGTCATGGGAATGCTGAACACAAACTTGGAATGCAACGTGGACCAGGGCAACGATGGGATCACATTACATCTGCAGATTTCTTCGATAAGCCCTTGTTATCACAGAGGCTATGTCGGGTATAAGTACCCTCCCGTGTGTCTGCCCTTTGTCGTCGTTCTTTGTCGGCTTTTACAACCCGGTTTGCAAGTAAATCCTTGCGCGCCACAATCTCAGTCCAAGGCTGAAACTGTATGCAACGGCATCTAAGGCAGGACCACAATAGAAGGAAACCTGCGTGCTATGGACGGGACAAATCAACCATCAGATGCTGGTGCGGCCATCTCTACAAATACCGATCAACCTCTCCATCAAGATGGATGCCCTTTTGTCAATCACGAACCACAAAGTCCATCGAAGACATCACCAAATACGGTTCAACGCAAGAAGCATTGCGCCTGGTGCAACATGGATGCGTATTACGTTGCACATACCCGTCCAGGCGACACTGGCCCGGACGATTCGCAAGCTTCATCTGTTTCGGATGAGGATCGCCCTTCACCATGCTACACGACATTCTCCGGACGCTTGATCAGACACGGCGCGGGCAGCTGTCTGAATTCCATGGCCTTGAGAATGACGGGACGGTAGAAGAATGGAATGAGGAATGGAAGGCCGTGGCGAATGAGGTTGGGGGATCTGAGGTGCGTCTTTTCTCCGAGCTTTCGATATCAATCACTGACATACCCACCCTGTTAGAAACTGGAATCTCTTGTCGAGATTGGTCTTGCAGCCGTCCGGGTCAGAGTCGGGAATGACCATCTGCAAGGCTTTGAAGGACAGACCGCAGAGCTGTCCGGTTTTCGCTTGTCTCAAGACCTGGTCATCACCTGTGCTCATTTCACAGACTGGAGTCTCCCAGGGAACAAGGTCGAATTCTACTTGAATGGCCAGAATGGCATTTACGAAGCGATACAAGCAAGGAAGTCTAAAGCAGTTGGTAAGTCTTCATCCGCAATGTCACAACCACATATGCACCACTGACCAGGTCCTAGGTCGCAAAGGTCACTTGACACTCCGCCTCTGGGCCATCCACGAAGCATGGGACATTGCTGTTTTTCGAGTCACAGGCTGGCCCGAGAACAACAGCCAGCTGTCCGTTCTCACGAAAGAGGATATCTCTTCGGTTGCCCCGGAGGAATGGGCCCAGTTGAAAGCCGGTTCAACGGGGCGATTCTGGTCAATCGGCTATAACCTTGCTGTCAACATGGATCAGTTACGCGAACATTTCGCAAATTTTTTCTCGAGACTTCAGCAGGACGAGAAGGCGGAGATCAGCCAACGCTATGTAAGTCACAATCTCCAACCCATCGGCTTCTTATCTGATCCTGTCTCGGCAGGAGTTCAACGATGCCAAACCACCCAGGAGTGAATTTCTTCAAGCGAACAGACGGACTGTCAGCTTTGGTACGAAGATAGGAATCCTATCCTATGCGAAAGAACACCGGGCGTGCGTTGAATTGAGTGCATGGTACGGACGATCAGGCTCAATGGTTTGCGCTGAGAAAGATGGAAGGTCGGTCGTCATCGGCATTGGTAAGTTGCGTCCTATGTCATAAATGGGGAAGACTGGAGCTGACAGAAAACCTAACCAGTCCAAGGAGGCGAGCAGACCTCTGACTGCAACTTGATCTTGTTGTTCAATACGAACATGCAAGAATGGTGGACTGCCGCCACTGAGCTGGGGAATAGCGCAGGTGCGCAGGACATCAGTAAGCGAGTCGTCATGCGTTAGATGGTGTTATCAGCAGGGTCGACACCCGAGAAAGGGTGGCATCTCGTCCACCAGACAGGATCTCTTTTGGGAACAGCGGTCAAAGTTGGGTCAAGGATCAAGGAATGCTGGGTGAGGAAATGAGCGAGGGCGACGTGGTCTGAACACTAGCACACCACGTGCACACTAGTCAGCAGTCTCTTGCCCTCATCGGCTAGTACTATTCGAGTAGTCTCTAGGCTGGAGGCCTCGTAATACGAGGGGACAATGACATTATCCTGTCCTTCACGTGACTCATCGCAGTACAGCCACGTGACTAATCTCATTAGTATCAGCCAATCACAAGACAGGTGTTTGATATTACGCCAGCACCATGCGCGGAGTGGGTGTCGCGCCTCATGGAATTCCTCCCTCTCGACTGCATCTGTGCCGTCACTCTCCCTCTCTCAGAGGTTCCTGGGGTATTGATTTTGACATGGGTAAATGCGGCTTCTCGACTTCTCGCCAAATCGCTCATTCTCCTATCCAACTTGCCAAGTCACCTCACTGTCACTTGTGAAGCCCCCGATATTTCAGCTCAGAGCCTACCGTCTGAATCAACCGGTCCTCTCCAGTGCTCTTCGTCTTACCAACACCACTTTCACAGTTGCCTACATTCGTCCTGAGCAGGACGCTTCCCTCATATCTAGCCAACCCCGTCAGAATTGGCTATCTCATCGGACCTTGGATCTCTTTCTGCGGATTTGGCTACAGTTCTCGCCTCCTTATCCCTTCGATTGTCGATTTCCCCTGAATGGCGTGTGCCTCCTGCTAACAAGGCGCCCGAAATTGGATCGGCATGTTGGCTGTACGCGGTGCTATGGACCCTTTGCGCCGTCGCACCTCCTTTGGTTCCGACGAAAAGAGTTTGATGCGTCAACCCTCTGCCGAAGACATCGATGCTGCTCATCAGCTTGTGTCGTCTGCACTGGGTGAACGTCATGGTTCCCACCTGACCCATGAAAATAACGCGGGTGATATCGCCCTCCGCCGTCTTCCTCTGGGCCAAACCAGTCACAGACCAGAATCCTCTGAAGCACCGCTATCATCCTCAGTCGAACACGCCGAGCAGAGAGGAGACATTCCGGGTCTGGGTCAAGTCTGCAGGTATGCCATCTTCGCGCGAGTACACCCACGTCCTGATGCCAACTCGCTTCACGCTGGTGTTGTCGCTAATATAACTGTAGCAATTGCGGAACGACCAAGACCCCGTTATGGCGACGGTCTCCCACCGGACACACCATCTGTAATGCTTGTGGGCTCTACCTGAAGACGCGCAACGCTCCCAGGCCCACAAACTTCAAGCGTCCAAACTCAGCCGCCCCTCCTGAAAGTCCTCGCCAGAGAATTACGGCATCTCCAACCGCTTCAACAGTATCGGCATCAGCACCAAGCCAGCCCTCGAGCGTTCCATACCGAGCTCCAGAGCACATCACTGGCTCGTGTCCAGGTAGGGGGGAGTGTAACGGAGCAGGCGGAGCCGAGGGCTGCGGAGGATGTCCTGCGTACAACAACAGAGTCGCTAGAACTGCTAATACGTCGGTGGTACCCGACTTACCAGCCGAAGACGGGAACGACTCGCAGAGTGAGGCTGGTTTGGGAACGAGCCCAAGCGCAACAAGTCCTGCCACTCAACAACAGCCATCTCCCGGGAACGCATCGTTGCTCGTTGCGTGCAAGAACTGTGGGACGACCGTAACCCCTCTATGGCGTCGCGATGAGCAAGGCCATCCTATCTGCAATGCGTGCGGCTTGTATCACAAATTGCATGGGTCACATCGCCCAGTACAAATGAAGAAGTCGACGATCAAGAGGCGGAAACGAGTTGTACCGGCATACCCCGAGGTTCTCAAACCAGCCACCACACCTTCTCAACACCACCCGTCGACTTCGCCAGAACCAGCTCTACCAGCAGATGCCCGAGAGCCAATCGCCATCGACAACTCACCCGCGCCCAAGAGGAGACGACCCCCTCCTACAGTGGATTACACCGGATACGTTCCCCAAACCCACATGGACGAAGCTCCGCAGGATGCGAACGAAGACTATGCCTCTCGACTTCAACGTGCAGCTATTGCGGCAGGAGGCATGCAACTTGACCCCGCACTGGTGGAGGCCGGTCGCCGACGTCAGGAACAGGATGCCACAACAGCGCAGCCATCCGAAGACAATGAAAACGAGATGAACGAGCGGGATCGCGCGGTCTGGAGAGCAGAAAGAAGGGCGCAACTGATGCGTGAAGCAGAAGTTATGAGGGCGGCACTACGTGCAAAAGAACGCGAGATTGATGATCTCACTTGACGTCGATGACGTGTTCAGGTCCGCATGTCCATGCAGCCCTGTTGGTTTCTTGTCTACATGACTCCATGTGGACAACTGTTGGGGACTATCAAAGAAAATTTGGAATGATTTTAACGAATACTTGTTGCACAGCAAGGCGCTGGAGGAAAATTCAGTGGTTTTGCGAAGAGGCATACAGGGACGAACGAAGGCCAGGTTTGGGCCGACATTCGAGTATGCGAGACAGTATGCGAACCATCGTGCCCTCCAACACTCACTCGACGCTTCTACACCCGATATATCTTCCCCTCTCATAGATCAAGTAGGGGTATTGGGTACTGGGTATAGAAGTCCTTTTTTTGGGCGCGGGCACAAATCGCGGATATGCATCCTCGTTATGTAGGACCCAAAACAAAAAACCATGTATCTCTGCGCCACTCCTCACTTGACTGATCGTAAGACCCCCTGGAGATGAGACGAGTCGGTATCCCATTCGTATGCCAGACAGAAGATGCCTTGCCTTGCCTTGCCATGACGATGTCGAATCTCTGCCCTCTCCAGTTTTCCCCGTTTGCCTTTCCGGATGAGCGAGTAGCTTAGCTGTAAGGTGACCAAAGAAGGTGCACGGTGCCACAACACCACAGACAAATAGTGAAGAGTGAAGAGTGGAGGCGTGGAGGCGCATGTCTTGGGTTCATCACAAACCACCACACGAACGATCAGTCATGCTGTGTAACCAGGTTGTGTTTTCCATCGAGGCTGAGGGAATATGTGCGGGTAGTTTTGGACCCTGAGCCAGAGCCAGAGCCAGAGCCAGAGCCAGCAGAATGTGGGGATGGCGGAGGGGAAGAGGGAAAAGAACATGTCCTCTTCTCCTGGTGCCGGTGCCGGTGATGGCGATGGCGATGGTGCCACAGCTTTGTCAGTTCCCTTTGTCCCCTTCGTCTCCTCCGCTATCCATCCAAATCTGATTCGTCCATGGTTGAGAATCGCGCCATCCCTCCAGATCTGGCGGCATCAAAAATGAGCTTCGACTTGGATTCTCCATTCAACTCGGTTGGGTTGGTGTGATTTCTCGTGTCCTGATGTTCGTGTGTGTCGTGCCCTGGCAAATCCGGGCAATCCGGGCCATCCATATCCCATGGTCTCAGCTCATATCAGTTTGTTTATATCAACCACTTCGCAGTGTCCAGTTGATACAGCTGTAGCATCAGAACTGTGTGATCCATCATCTGTCATCCGTCATCTCAAAGGCAACTGCCTCATTGATCGTAATTTGCCACAAAACTCCCAAGCCGCAGTCTCCCACTCTTGATAGTGCGCGCGTAGCATGCTTTTTCTGACAAGGCAAATCAACGAGCACGTCCCAAATAACATCACTGCCTCTGTGAAGGAAAAGAAACACATCAGAACCACAACTTGATCAGTTCCTCACTGACGGCATTCGGGGTCATGAGTCCGTTTTCCGTGATGAGGGCCGAGATCAACCCAGGCGGCGTGATTTCGACCATCCAATCGTCCACATGCCCTGTAGCGGGTTTTCCATCCTTTGGCAGCGGACTGGAGCCAGGAAACCCTTCTTTCTTCTGACTTCCGGCATTGGAATCAGGAGCCGCAGTAGTCCCGCCGAGGCCAAAGCGCAACACATTCTGTTCAACCCCCAGTCTTCGAAGATCACTCGGCCCATACCCGAGCGGGAAGTTCCCCACAAACTTGTACGATTCCACGCACACATGCAAGGGGATGGCATAAGTCTGGGCGATAAGTCCGATTTGGTGTGTGCCGAGCCCTGTGACGATGGATCCGTTCTCCAAGACCGCGGTGGCGCCGACGAGGAACTGTGGTGGTGAAGCCGGAGAGGGCGGTAGCGACGCTAGCGCATACGTCAAAGCGTGCAGAGGAATTGTGGTGGTGGGAATAGAAAGGTCCTGCAGCGAGGCGATAGACTCTGCGAGCCGCGAGGAAACTCCTCTTGGGGGTAACACATAGACGACACTGAAAGAGCGCTTGGACTCTGCAGCTGCAGTTAGCACGGTGTGAACTACCCGGCTGTATCCGTAGGTAATGATGATTGAGTCTTCTTTGATGAATGGCAAGGCATGATGGGCGATTTTGAGACGTGCTTCATTGGCGCGTTTCACAAACAGAGACGACTGGGCGATTATGTGATGGCGTAACGCGGTGAAGTCGGATGTCGCGAGCGACGACGGCCGTTGCTGGAAGGAGCTGATCAGGTACCTTTGAAACAGCTCTGTCCCAGCAGAGAGCGGAATCGGGTTGCGTTGCGACTCGAGCAGTCTTCGAGAGTGGCTGGACAGTAGTGCGAGGGTTTCCGAGATGGTTGTCAAGGGCGATGTCGCGAGAAGATTGATGAGTGATTCGATCGCTGCAATTGGAGGTGTGATGTTTGGATCGCTCTCAATCAGCGAGTTGTAGGACGCGACGATGTCAAATGTCGTCGAGGGCGACTCTTCAGCTGTTGAGGGTTTGGATGCCATCGCTGGGGCTGATGCTGCTACTAGAGGTGTAGACGGATTAGCGGACTTGAAGAGCTAGCATAGAGCATTTTCTTATAGGGCACCGCTATATATTTCCACATGGGCGAATCTCATTGTGTCCAATTTCCTCATCCATGCCGAAACCATTGGGCAAGGCGAGGTTGAGTCATTGGGAGAAGGGCCAAGGGTTGGGGTAGATGCACTCACCAGCAGCCATGGCAGAAGGCACTATTTTCTAGACGGTACGCAGTCGTGATAAGTCTTGCAACTAGTTTCATGCAAAAGTACTTTTGGAACTTGACTAGATGTGGTGCTGGCAGACCGAGTCGTGGAAATTTTAAACTTCTTTACTTGAGAAGTCTTGGATGGACAGTTGAGATCAGCAAGGCTCCATCATAGCCTTGTCAGAGTATCTTGGCGTGGGGGCGACGAGCACCCCGCGCCCTTTCCTATTTTGGAAATGTCAACAAAGCAAAACCCATTCTTCTAACGGAGGCTCAATCGCACGTTTCGGTGTCTCTCTCTCCAAACACTTGCATTTCGAGGCCGACAGAATACATCCTTCACGATAAAAATGAATTCGCAATACCGAACTTCGCTGCAACAGCAGCAACGAGTCAAAAAGAAGGAAGAAGATCCTGCCGATTTCATGCGATTGGTTTGTTGTCTTACGACCGCTCTCACAAAAGACGTACTGACAGTATCTACAGTCTGAGAAAGAGATAGCATCATGTATCAGCGAAATGGGTATTCCATTCCAACCTTCCGACATCTTGAGACCCAACCCGCAAGTGATCCAGATGGTGTTCGAGCACCTGGGTGAACTGGTTATGAATGCAACCAGAGACACCCTTGATCCTGCCTTACGCGCTGCCGCCGAAGACGTTTGCTCCGAGTTTCCTGAACTAGTACCGGTGGAGACGAGGCTACTTATGGGCTTCTTCGTCCAACTGCGAACCATGCTCGAGCAGTGCGGAATCCATGATTTCTCGTTCAACGACCTTGTTCGTCCGACCCACGATCGACTGGTCAAGATCCTATCATACACCATCAACTTCATTCGATTCCGGGAGACGCATACGAGCGTAATAGACGAAAACTTTAACAAAGCAGAGACTACAAAGGCCAGGATCGAGACACTGTATGTTGAGAATCAGGACATGGAGCAGAGGCTGGAAGAGATGAAGCGCAACAGAAAAGCGATGGAGGTTGCCGTCAAGGAGAAGATGCGGCGAAACGATGAATTGAAAGCACGGCTACTGGAGCTTCGAAAAGGCCAGGAAAGAGTGGCGGAGCACCTGGAACGCGCCAAAGCCGACAAGTCACGCTCTCAGGCACTATTGGAGGACAAGACCGAGAGATTGATACGGGCGCGGCAAGAGAGTGAGAAGTTGAGGCCGTACGTTTTGCAAAGTCCGGCGGCCTTACAGAGCACTTTGACGGAACTCTCAGACAATCTTGTACGGGAGAAGGCCCAAATCGACGCGTTGGAGCGGAGGTGCCGTGCTCTCCAGACATCAGGGGATAGTTTTACGGTTGTTCAAAATGATGTGCAGGCGTGCGTTAAAGTACTCGAGGAGATCGCAGTGGAGCTTCAGAAAGAAGAGGAGGAAGACGCTCGAGCGGCAAAGAATCGCGATGCTCTGGCAGAGCGTGGAAACAATGTGCGCGAAGTGGAACAGAACGAGAAACTGCTCCAAAGGCAGTTGAAGAAGTGGGAAGAACGCATCGAGGAGTTGCGCCGGAAGCACAGAGATCGAGATGAAACAAACAAGACCAAAATGGACGAACTGAGAGAGACTCAGCGGCAGCTCCGAGATCAAAGGGCTGACAGGGGTCGGGAGATGGAAAGGAGGAAAGTGAGGATCGAGCAGACCGAGAAGAAGGTGAGCGTCGCTCCAAACCGACTACCAGGGGATTCATCTTGCTAACGAACACTTAGATGGCCGATCTCAAGGATAACATTGAACAGGAGGTACACTCGGCGCACGAGGAGTATCTCAAGCTTGAGTCCCACATCAAGCTGTACATCACAGAAATGGAGCAAAGCATGTGATTGGGTGGAATTTGTGACGACGTTTATGAAGGAAATGGCGCTCCCTGCAGAAGATACCCGGTTATGTTGGCTGGCGATTAACTTTTTGGATTAAATGGGCCAGATTGGGCTGGCATCTTTCCCTCTTTGCTCTTCAAACTATCATTTCCTCCTCGGGGCTGTTCCTGGGCCAGTCGACCGGGTCATTCTCCTGTCGGTGCCGTTCATTCTGTCCCTCGGCACTGAACCATCTCGATGCAAATTTCATGACCGATATGGTGCGCCGTCCCCAGCTTTGACCGGGTTCTCCTATCTTGATGGCTGCACTAAGGAGTTGGACTTCGGTCTGCCAGAGATTCGGACCTCGATTTGGATTGAACGGGTCATTGATGTCCTTGCATTCCACTAACTTCACCCTGCGATTTGTTCGGTGACCGGCAGACGCCGCGGTGGCGAGTGTCTGGGAGAGACCTTGCAGGGTGAATTCG